TCCGCGCCGCAGGAGGAGCCCGCGCCGGAGGCGGGCGCCGCGCCGGAGGAGCCGCCCCGGGGCTCGCCGGGCAAGGGCCGCGGGGGCTCCGTGAGCAGCGAGAACACCTTCGCGTCCGCGCGGACCGAGGCCGTGAGCCGGCGGGGCTCCGCGCGCGAGTCGTCCGTCGCGTCCGACGCGGGCGCCGCGGCGCCCGAGGTCGAGGACACGCAGCGGCCCAAGTCGCCGCCGCCCGTCGCCGACGCGCCGTCGCCGCCCGTCGAGGACGTCGCGAGTCCCGCGCCGCCGCCGCCGGACGAGAGCGAGTCGCCCGAGAGGGACGGCGCGTTCTCGGAGACGGAGGCCGAGAACCGGCGCGCGCGCGAGGCGCGCGCGACGAAGGGCCCCTCGCCGGACAAGGGCCGGCGGCGGAGCTCCATCAAGCGCCGCGCGTCCGACGGCCACGTCATCATGCCCGAGCACATCGACAGGGCAGGAAACGGGTGATTCAAGTTCGCTTCAATATGAGTGTTCCGCGCGCGATCGTTCCAGAGAAAGGATCCACGCTTCGAGAGCGCTCCGAGAGATGATCGCCCGTCCAAGAATTAGCCGAAACGAGTGGAAAATGACCGAGATAGGAGCCTCCAAAGTTGTGAATTTCGCACTCTTTTCCTGCCAGGCACATCGACGTCGACTCGTCCTTCGAGCCGCCCGTCGTGCCCAAGAGTTTGGAGTCGCGGGCGCTGATCCTCCAGGCGCTCCAGACGAACATGCTCTTCGCGGAGCTCGCCAAGGGCCAGCTGGAGATTATTATTTCCGCGATGGCGCAGCACCACGTCGCGCGCGGCGAGGTCCTCATCCGCCAGGGCGACGTCGGCGACGCGTTCTACACGGTCGAGGAGGGCGCCTTCGACATCTTCGTCAAGATGCGCAACAACAAGAGTGGCCACGGCAAGCGGGTCGCGACGGCCGGCGCGGGCCAGGGCAGCAAAAGAGAGCGAAATTCCCAACTTCAAAGCCTCCTTTCTCGGCCGTTTTCCACTCGTTTCGGCTGACTTTTGGACGAGCGATCATCTCTCGGAACGGTCTCGAAGCGTGAATGCTTTTCCCGGAACGCGCGCGCGCGGAACACTCACGTTGAAGCGACGTTGAATCACCCTTTTGCTGCCCAGGCGCGGGCACGTCGTTCGGCGAGCTCGCGCTCTACTTCAACGTGCCCCGCGCGGCGACGGTGAAGGCGTCGGCGCCCTGCGTCTGCTGGAAGCTCGACCGGCGCACGTTCCGCCACTTCGTGGCCCAGAGTCGGAGCGAGCGCCTCGAGATCACGACGCGCGCGTTCGAGACGATCGACGTGCTCGCGGCGCTGCCGACGGCGCACCTCCACAAGATCGCGACGCACGTCAAGGAGCAGCCCTTCGACAAGGGCGCGACGATCATCAAGCGGGGCAGCGAGGGCGACTCCGTCTACCTGCTCAAGGAGGGGACGGTGCTCTGCACGAACATCGACAAGAGCTACGTGCAGACGCGCGACGTCAAGCTCGGCCCCGGGTCCCACTTCGGGGAGATGGCCCAGGTCACGGACAACCACACGCGCACCTGCGACGTCGTCGCCGCGTCGCGGTGCGTCGTCTTCGAGCTGAGCGGCCGCGACTTCGCCATGCTGCTGAACACGCACCAGCACGTCGCCGTCGCCGTCCGCGTGCTCCAGACGCTCCAGAGCCTCATGCACCTCGACATCCAGGTCAAGGAGCTCATGACGTCCTTCGAGGAGCGGCGGGTCGAGGCCGGGGCGCTCCTGAGCGACGCGACGACGCCGCGGGAGCTCGTGGTCCTCTGCGAGGGCGAGGCCGCGTTCGCGCCGAGCGGCGCGGCCGCGTGCCGCTGCGGGCCGCCGTCGAAGAAGGGGTCGAAGCTGATCCGGCTGCGGCCGGGGGACTACTTCGGCGAGCGGTGCCTCCAGGACCCGGACAAGTGGACGGCCGTGGAGCGCTGCTACGCGACGACGGACGCGACGCTCTTCTGCCTGACGCAAAAGTCGTACGAGAAGTACGTGCAGAAGGTGCGGCGCCAGCGCGCGTCCCAGCGCACGCCGCCGCCCTACAAGGATCTGGTGATCAAGCAGACGCTCGGCGAGGGGTCCTTCGGCCGCGTGAAGATGGTCGTGCACCGGCCCGCGCCGACCGCGGGCGCGCCCGAGCCGGAGAGCCGGTCCTACGCGCTCAAGATGCTGAGCAAGCAGGGCATGGCGAACAAGAAGCAGGTCAAGGCCATCCTGGCCGAGCTGCGCGTGCTGCTCCTCATCAACCACCCCTTCCTCCTGCACCTGCACGGCACGTACCAGAGCCGCGACCTCTGCTACTTCCTCTTCGACTGCATCCAGGGCGGCGAGCTCTTCAAGCGGCTGGCGTCGTCGGACGACTGCACGATCCCCTTCAAGGACGCCCAGTTCTACGCGTCGCACCTCGTCGAGGCGCTCGTCTACCTCCAGTCGAAGCGCGTCGTCTACCGCGACCTCAAGCCGGAGAACATCCTCATCGACGCGCGGGGCTACGCCCGGGTCGTCGACTTCGGGTTCGCCAAGGTCATGCAGGACGACGACTCGCTGGCCTACACGCTCTGCGGCACGCCCGAGTACCTGAGCCCGGAGTGCGTCCTGGGCACGGGCTACCGCTTCGAGATCGACCTCTGGGCCTTCGGCATCATCGTCTACGAGATGCTCGTGGGCTACACGCCCTTCTCCAACGACGACGACGAGGTCGACGACATGATGGCCATCTTCAAGCGCATCACGAAGGCGACGATCGAGTTCCCCGACGCGCTCGATGACCGCACCGTCGACTTCGTGACCGCGATCCTCGCGCGCGAGCAGCAGAAGCGGCTCGGCAACTCGCTCGAGGGCCTCTCGGAGGTCCGCGACCACCACTTCTTCACGGGCGACATCGACTTCCCGGCCATCCTCGCCATGAAGGCGCCCGCGCCGTGGACGCCGAAGATCCGCGGCATCGACGACACGTCCAACTTCGACGACTACGACGACGACGAGGACAAGTTCAAGGAGCCGTTCAGCGGCGACCAGAAGCAGTTCATCGAGTTCGGCCGGCCCTACGTCATCGACACGGCCAAGGGGCCGACGAGGTAACTCTGGCTCAGCTTGCAACGTTAGCCTAACTTTGAAAAACACTGTGCTACACGAAAAAGTTCCTGTGATGGGCTGACTGTGATGGGCTGAGCGAAGTAGCCCTTCTGTCGGTCAACGATGAGTGTAGTCGGCGGCGGCCCGGACGCCATGGGCTGCTGCGGAAACTACGAAACTTTGCCGGAACTCTGCGGGTCGATCGACGCGGCGGGCGCCGACGCGCCCATCGACTACGAAGGCGAGATCGAAGTCTACGAGCCGGAGCGGGAGGTGCCCGAGGCCTGGATCGCGGCCGTGAGCCTCTCCGCGACCGCGCGCGGGACGGCGTCGTCGCAGCGGCGGCGGAGCACGTCGCGCGGGCGGGGCCTCCGGAGGCCGAAGGGCCGGCCGCGCGCGCCGGCCGCGAAGCGCCGGCCGTCCGACGCGTCGGCTTCCGCGGCGTCGACCGCCTCGTCGACCGCCTCCGCGGACGACGACGCCACCGCGGATGACGACGCCGCCGCCGGGGACGACGACGCCGCGGCGGCGCGGGCCGCGGCGCCGGCCGCGCACGGGCTCCTCGACTTCCACCGGACCGAGGCCGCGCTCGCCAAGACCGCGGGCGCGACCAAGGCCCTGGCCGACGGCGCCGGCGCCGCGGCGGGGAACGCGAGCATCGTCGCCAAGGCCGGCGCGGCCGGCGCCTGGCGCGCGGCGCGCGCGAGCGTGAGCCTCCTCGTGGGCCACGGCGCCGCGAAACCGGCCGCGGCCGCGCCGCCGCGCCACGTGGGCCACGACGCCAAGGAGACGCAGCGCGAGCTCTCGGCGCGCCTCGGGAGGCACGTCAGCATGGTGGAGACCCAGGAGAAGATGCTCCACATCGGCACGAACGAGAGCGGCTGCGTCTCCGAGGCGGACATCGCGGAGCTCGTGGACCGCGAGCGGAAGAAGCCCCTGCGGCGGCGCGCGCGCATCACCCTCGCGCGCAGCCTCGTGCCGTCGAACGTGCGCCTGCTCTACAACTCCATGCGCTGCCCGAAGGAGGTCTACGCGGCGACCGTCGTCGCGGACCGCGACGTGCTCGTCGCGCCGCTGCCCAAGCCCGCGGACGTCGACTGGGCGAGCCTCGTGCTCCTGGACCCGCCGAGCTTCTCGCGCGCGCTCGACACGCTGACCAACGCCATGCTCACGCAGACGACGCACGCGGCGCACGCGACGCTCGGCCTCGGCGACCACGCGCCCGGCCGCAACTCGCTCCTCATGTACCTCGCGCAGCAGGGCGACGTCGACCAGGTGCGGGACATCTTCGCGACGCGGCCCATCGTCCGCTCCATCGTCGACCTCCGCAACACGCTCGGCTACGCGGCCATCGACTACGCGCTCGCGAACGACCACCAGGAGGTCTACGACATCTTCCTCTCCTACCACCGCGAGCACCTCGCCCACCACTCCATCAACTCGAAGCTCCGCCACAACCTCGACAACGGCGGCTCCCGCTTCGCCGCGCGCGGCGGCCGCTGGGAGCTGCGGGAGTAACGCGGTGAGCAACGGAACTGGCAACGGTCGGCGACGTCAATGTCGGCTCGCAACGACTCCTTTATCGGCGAGGCCGGCCTGGCGCTCAAATCGGCGCCAATGGCTGCCCCCACCGGAGGAGAGTATTCCAGCGCCCGGGCCGACGGCCCGCCGCCGCCGCCGCCCGCGCCGCCCGAGGAGAGCGCCGGGCGCCCGCGCTTCTCCTTCCTGCAGTTCTTTTGCAGCCCGGCGACCCGGGAGAGCGAGGCGCCGCCGCCGCCGCCGCCGCCGGTGGCGCCGGAGGTCGAGCGGCTGCGCGAGGAGGTGTCGACCCTGCGCCGCGAGCTGCGCGACATCGCCGAGCGCCTCGCGCCGCGCGCGCGGCCCATCACGCCGGACGAGCCCGCGCGCGCCGCGTTCGCGGAGCCGGCGGCCGCGGCCGCGCCCGCGGAGAAGGATCCGTCGCCGCCGCCGCCGCCGGCCGCGTCGCCGCCGCCGGCCATGTCGCCGCCGCCGCCGCCGCGCGTCAGCGCCGGCCGCCGCCGCGCCGCGACGTCGCCGCCGCGCGCGGGCGAGTTCCGCGCGATCGGCGGCGGTCGGCCCCGGCTCGCGAGCGACCCGCGGCCGCGGTCGCTGAGCGACCCGCGGCCGCGGTCGCTGAGCGACC